AGAAAACACAGCTGGAGGAGGAGGAGGCATACTTTCCCCATAAATTGCATTAGCAGAGATCCTCCTTGTGCAACAAAGGGTAAATGCCAGTTGATAATAGTTCAACGACATAATAAAAATGAATTGAATAACAGAGCGAGGCTATTGATTGCAAGACCCAACACCAGGAAGTAATGGGTTGCATTTAAAATCTACTCGTGTTTGTTGTTTTAACAAACTATTCAAACTCAAATCTAAATCAAATAAGTAAAAGATATAGGCTCTAGACAACCTCGGGAGAAATATATTTTTTCTCATAAGTTGCATTAAGGGAGATTACTTATGCGTCCTTCTTTTTTCAAAATGGTTATCTGTTTTTTTTTTTTTTTTTTTTTTTTTTTTTTTTTTTTTTTTGCTGTCAGAGTGTTGTCCGTATTTTCTGTGTCGCTTTGAAATTGGAAGTGAAATGGAATATATATATGTACACTTGGCGAGACCCACACCTTGGGAGAGTGTATTTCACATTGATAGGACGGCGAAGCACACGAAAGGACGCAGTTACAAATACACACTCATGTGACTATCTGATCTGTCTATTTATCTATTCATCTTATTATCTATTTATCTATCTGTCTATCGATTCCTCTCTCTCTCCCTCTCTCTCTCTGTATATATATGCATATACAAATAATCATATACATATATGTATATATATATATATATATATATATATATATATATATATATATATATATATATATATATATATATATATATATGCACACTCACACTTACATATATAACTATCTATATATTATATAACTGTGCATATATAGCTATCTGTAAATGTGTTTGTGTGTATGTGTGTGTGTGTTGCATTCACAAACACACAAACACATAGATAGATAGTATGTGTATGTGTGAGTGTGTGGTGTGTGTGTGTGTGTGTGTGTGTGTGTGTGTGTGTGTGTGTGTGTGTGTGTGTGTGTGTGTGTGTGTGTGTGTGTATGTGTGTGTGTGTGTGTGTGTGTGTGTGTGTGTGTTGTGTGTTGTGTGTGTATATATATATAATATATATATATATATATATATATATATATATATATATATATATATATATATATACTGAATATACAAATACTTCCTGACATAAGTCAGATATATCCAGCAGATGTTTAACTCTTTAGTTCTGATCCAATTATACTTGTGTTAACTCGGATTGAACAGTAAATATTTTAAACCTAATATTACATCAAAGGTTGATTTATTTAGGCATAAACATATCAGCAGAAGGTCCGCTCTTGCAATGCATTATTTTTTTATTGCAATAATTAATGCACGTTGAGTCAGCGAAAATCTTGCCATGACAAAATTGGTGTGCCTGAACATGTAAATGTCATATTTTTCGTTTTTTTTCTTTTTTTTCCTTTCTTTTTTAGGTGTGATTCGTAAATCATCTAGTATGGTTTATAAAAACGTCATCACTTTAATACGAGAACGCGACATTTTCCGCGTTTTTTTGTATTCTAAACTGAATCTACATTACTTATGCTCACGTGGCCAGTAACACGAGCCAGAGCAAAGAATGTAGTATATTTTGAGACACGTATATCATATGATAATAAATGTAACATATCATTGCATTGTAATGACAAACGCTTGAAATCTGTGAAGTAGCCATTTGCTTCATATTAATCAACATATAGAAAAGGACAACAAATATAACACATAATACCATAAACCTTTCACAAATGATCTTAAATACACATACATAAGCAGACGATCCCAATATTGAACCATTTCACACATACACTTACCCACGTCACACACACATACAACGAAGCACAACCCACAAACAAACAATCCTTTTAGCAAACACGCCTACAACCCGACCACTACAACCCCCCCCCTCCCCCCTTACCAGGTAGAGGCTTCGGACGGCGATGGGCGTGCGGGCGGGGCGGGGTTGCGCTACTCTCTCGCGGGGGACGGAGTGGACGGCCTCACGCCCTCAGAGGCCTCCTTCGCCGTCGACGCCCACACGGGGGAGCTCATACAACTGAAGGTGAGGCGGGGACGGATGGAGGGAGAATGGGTGTTGGGAGAAAGGTAGACTGTGGACTGGGAGGCGTGGGTGTTGTGAGAGAAAGAGGGTTGTGTGTTGTGAGGAAGGGAAGCTGATGGGTGTTGACGGATGTCGATGTTGTGAGGAACGAAGGCTGGGTGTTGGCAGGAGGAAAGCCGTGTGGGGGAGAATGGATGTTGTGAGGGAAGGTGACGGGGTGTTGGCAGGAGGAAAGCCGTGTGGGGGAGAACGGATGTTGTGAGGAACGAAGGCTGGGTGTTGGCAGGAGGAAAGCCGTGTGGGAAGAACGGATGTTGTGAGGGAAGGTGATGGGTGTTGGCAGGAGGAAAGCCGTGTGGGGGAGAACGGATGTTGTGAGGAAAGATGACCGGGTGTTGGCAGGCAGGAAGGGGCGTTAGTTAACAGAAAGGAGGACTGTATAAGACAACTTTGAGGTGGCAAGGAAGGAGGGCTGGGTGTTGGCAGGGAAAGGTGCTCGCCAGCAGAAAAAAAAAAAGTTGCGTGTTGGAAAGAGTGAATGTAATACGGAAGGAGGGCTCGGTTTTGGCTGAAGTTCTTGAATACTTCATTGCGCTTTGGCTAATTCAGAAGAGGATGTGAGTGTTTGCTTGACTTATATCTTGCTTTTAACCTTTCCCTTTTGGTATGTGTGCGTTTTCTGCTTCTGCTCATTTGTTATTTACTGCTTTTGCTTATACAAAATGGTGTCTGGTTTGATTGAGAAGGTTCGGCGCCTGTAGTCTTTCCACCTTCCAGTTCAACCGCTGCCTAGCATGGCGCCAGAAAGAGGGTAGCATTGCAGAGGCATTCCTATCACAGTTCAGAATCTCTAGACCAGCCTTGTCTAAACTGGGGTCCGCATACCCCTGGGGTACGCAACATAGATCATAGGGTTTGCAGTAGTTGTATTATTATCAGTGTGACTCTTTCATTACTTTCCTCGAATTGATTTCCCTTATAATTAAATATATGAATTATTACGGCAATGATAGTAATGAAATAAGCATAATGATAATGATACTAAATTCATACTCTTTGTAATGATAATGTTAATGTTAATGATAACGATGAAGTATTGCAAATGTATATTTTTAACTAAACAAATCTTTAATTCACTTATATTCCACTTGGACTTTAGATCACAAAATAGCATGATCATGTCAGCCCAAACCGTCTTTAATGTCATTGTTCTGACATTTCACTTTCTCATTGGAAAATTAGTATCTCTGGCTATCTTTTTCCCTCAGCCATGCCACTCACAGACAGAAATCACAAGATGGAAATTATGTTAACTATAATCAGACAATTGAGACTAATAATATAGATGATATTGAAAATAATGACCAACCCTTCCCCTCCCTCCCCAGGCTCTGGACCGCGACCCCCCCAACGGGAAGGGCGTGTGGAGGGTGAAGGTGCGGGTGCAGGATGGACAGAGGATTTTCTCCCGCTCCAGAGGCAGGCCGGAGCCCCCGCGGACCCCCCAGCGGGCTCCTAGATTCAACATGGAGGCGACGGAGGCCGAGGGAGGAGCCTGGCGGGGCAGCTCGAAGTCGCTGCGCTATCTCTTGGACGGGAATGTAGCAGATTTCTCCAGGCACAGCGACGGCGGCAAGCAGACCAGCAAGAGGCGAAGGCACTGGCTGTCTGGGAGCACGAGGTGGAGGGAGATCAGGAAGAGGGAGGCCCCAGGAGCACAGGATGCGGGAGAGGAGGCGATACCAGAGCCCGAAGAAATCCTTGTCTCCACGACGAGGTGGAGAGAGGCGCCCCAAGGAGGGCATTCGCTCCCTGATGAATTCCGGTATCATTCTCGTCAAAATACAAACGTCGCGGGATCTAAAAGAAAGAGAAAACGACAGACGGAAGGATTGTCATCTAAGGATCCGTTGCGAAATGACGATGGAATCCACAGTGGTTCCATCGAAGAGCAGAGGCGGTCGAGACGCCATATATCTCAGCATGGGGTCCCTTTGCCCCCGCTCTCACGTCTCGAGCCGCACGACGCCCTGTCCACGCTGTATCCTCCGACGCGAAGAGGCAAGGCTAGTGCAGCCTCGGCGGGATCGAAGGGGGAGAGCGAGGCTAGAGTCTCGTCTTCCGCAGACTTGCCTTGGCGGAGTCAAGCGGCTGGCGAGGAGGTCTCGGAACTCTTTAAAGACCGGTCTGCGGGACTGAACCGAAAAGGAATCCAGGCTCATCACCTGCCCACCGGAGCCTCCAGCAGCTCCAAGGGCCGAAGAGGCCGCACGAGCTCTGGTTCGAACGCTGCTCAAGCGAACGACCCTGAAGCTTCCGAAGAAGGCGCTGACGCCCCTCCTGTCTGGAACCCGCTCGCACTCCCCCTCGGAGAGAGCATCAGGGCGTCCAGATCCGCCCGAGCCTCGAGCTTCCGCTGGAATAAGCATTACCTGAGCTACCTGGTGGACCAGCGCGACCTGCTCTCGGACGCCAGGAGGTGCAAGTTCGTGAGCATCTTCGACAGGAACCGAAGTCACTACAACGTCACCGACCGGGACTTCCAGACCGCCGCAGGAGGGGGCGACGCTGCAGGAGAAGAAGGAAGAGGCTGGGAAGTGCAGGGACAAGTGCTCAGGCTGGAGGACACGCACTTCGCAGAGACGGAGGTCACGGTGCTCGTCAAGGACATCAACGACAACGCCCCCGTGTTCCCCAACGCCACCATGTACGGCGCCGTGCAGGAGAACGGCCCCGCGGGTGAGCAGGATGCAGGGGCCTCGTGCTTATTGTGCTGTGATGGTGATGATAAAGATAGCTGAGATACTGATGATTTTGATGTGTAACAATAATGATGATAATGAATGTAAAAGTAATGATAACGAAAAATCATCACCATCTTTATCTTGGCTATTATCACTATCATTATCATTATTACCATCATTATTACCATTATTGTTATTGTAGTTATCATTGCTATTATTATAATCATTATCATTATCATCATCACCATTATCATTCTTATGGCAAGCATTATCATCATCCTTATCATCATTAGTATCATAGTCATTAGTATCACTTTTATTATCAGTGAAATTGAAAATGATGATTGAGACACTAAAAGGGATGGTAGTAGTAATAATATTATTCATTTGATATGATGATGATTAATGATGATAAAGATAGATAATGATAATGATGGTGATGATTATGATAATAAATCATAATGAATAATAATAATGTTAAAAGTGATAACGTTAATGATCATCATAATCACAGTACTGACATTAATGAGAGCAATAATAACATTGATAATGATTGATAATAATGATAATAACAATGATAATGATAGCGATAATAATCATCATTCACAGATTGGCATTTTGTTTAAGAATCTAATTGAAAGCAATTTTTCATAATGTTTTTCGAAAAGCCAAACCATTTGATCTGTTTTGGTTCAATTGAGACAAATCCTTTCTTCCGTAAGATGTACAGCTAGTTTTATTTTTTCTTTAGTTTTATTTTAATTTCATTTATTTTGTTTCATTTATTTTTATTTTCATTTATTTTCATTTTCATGTCCATTTATTTTCAGTTTTATTTTTATGATTCATTTTTTCATTTCATTTATTTTCATATTCATTTTATTTTCATTTTCATATTCCTTTTATTTTCATTTTCATCATTTATTTTCATTCCCATTCCCTTTTTCATTTCCATTCCCATTTCCATTCCCATCTCCATCTCCATCTCCATCTCCATCTCCATCTCCATCTCCATCTCCATCTCCATCTCCATCTCCATCTCCATCTCCATCTCCATCTCCATCTCCATCCATTTCCATCTCCATCTCCATCTCCATCTCCATCTCCATCTCCATCTCCATCTCCATCTCCATTCCCATTCCCATTCCCATTCCCATTCATATTCCCATTCCCACTTCCATTCCCATTCCCATTCCCATTCCCATTTTCTTAAGTAAAAATAAATAAATAAATAAATAAAAATCTCCACCCCCTCCCTCCCTCCCTCCCCCAACAGACCTCTCCGTCGCCGTGGTCTCCGCCTGGGACGCTGACGACGCCACCGAAGGGACCAACGCCCGCCTCAGTTACTCCATCGAGAAGAACGTGGTGGACGAAGGGTCCGGCGAGGCCATCTTCGCCGTGGAGGCCGAAACGGGCGTCATTCGCACGGCGCTTTGCTGCTTGGACAGGGAGACGACGCCCGAGTACACGATCCAGGTCGTGGCGACGGACGGGGGCGGTCTGAAGGGTGAGTGTGGGCGGGAGTGTGGTCTTTTTGGGGCGGTTTTAAGGGGAGTGTGGTCTTTTTGGGCGGTTTTAAGGGAGTGTGGTCTTTTGGGGCGGTTTTAAGGGTGATTGGGTGGTTGTGTGGTCTTTTGGGCGGTTTCAAGGGGTGAGTGTGGATGGGAGTGTGGTCTTTTGGGGCGGTTTCAAGGGGTGAGTGTGGGTGGGAGTGTGGTCTTTGGGCGGTTTTAAGGTGAGTGTGGGTGGGAGTGTGGTCTTTTTGGGGCGGTTTAAAGGTGAGTGTGGGTGGGAGTAAGGTCTTTGGGGCGGTTTTAAGGTGACTGGGTGGTTTGTGTGGTCTTTGGGGTGGTTTTAAGAGTGATTGGGTGGTAGTAAGGTCTTTAGGGCGGTTTTAAGGTGAGTGTGGGTGGGAGTGTGGTCTTTGGGGCAGTTTTAAGGGTGAGTGGGTGGTAGTGTGGTCTTTCGGGCGGTATCATGGATGAGTGTGGGTGGTAGAGTGGTCCTTTAGGGCAGTATCATGGGTGAATGGGTGGTAGTGTGGTCTTTGGGCGGTGCGGGCGGGTGGTGTAAGTCCTTTTGAGTGGACCATGTACCACCCGTAATTTAGTATAGGCAAGGCTTTGAGATTTTTGTGTTGCTGTCAGTGACAAAGTTTAGGTAAAGAGTGTAGATATTTTAGGGTGGTGAGTATAATAGAGGGGAGTGTTATGTAGGGGTTGCTATGTCGTGGGGGAGGGGAGGGGTAATTTTAGTAAGTATTTGTGTTTTTTAGGAAATGTAAGTAGGTGTTTGTGTATATTGTGGGTCAGGGTGAGCAACCTGTGTATTGTACATAGAGAGAGAGAGAGAGAGAGAGAGAGAGAGAGCGTGTGAATAACTGTGTTGTGTGTAAATGGGGCTTCTGTGTTGTAAGTATGTAAGTTGTTTGAAGTAATGGGTTTTAGCATAAGTGTTTATATATATATATATATATATATATATATATATATATATATATAATATATATATATATATATATATATATATATATATAGGGTATTCAGCGGCACTAAGGTAAAGAGGGAATAAGAATGAATGCATTTACTGATGGAAGGAAGGGATGAAGATTTTCATAAAATTATCATCCGTTAATCTTCGTTTCGATCTCTTGATGTCGCGTCTTCAGTACTTTAAAACAAAAAGTACATTATTATTCATTCATGCAAATTGTTTACGTTGAGAGAATTTCCGTGGCAGCCATCACGTGTTCTCCTCTGACACTTTAAACGACTGTATTATTAGGAAACAGAAAAAAAAAACTACCAAATGGTCGCAATTCTTTACTCTTTAAATCATACAAAATATTTTCATTATAAACTCAAGATTGAGAATAAAGCATAAAGATAAAAAACAAAAGAAGGAAGCAACACGAGATGTATAATTTATTCTTTGTATTAACGCATCTTAATACGCCATAACCTTCACGTAAATTAACTCACAGTATCGAGATATCGGTCCTTGACTACACTGAGCAAATATCACTACTTTGGTCTGATTCATCAACAATAAACCTAATTGGAATCTGATTTAGCCTCAATAGAATCGTAAAACGAACTCTTCAAATCATTTTCACTGCCGTACGCAATTGATCGATTGGTTTGATAATGCCTCTGTAGATAACCATTCACGTGACCTGAAATGTACTGGGAACATGACCAAAAGGACTGAACATATTAACGGATTGCATAAGATGTTCACGGGTGCATAAGATTTTTCACGTTGAATAAACCATTTCCTGAAGCGACAATTTAGAAACAAAAGCCTGTCGGTTTTCACTGTTGCCAACTGCGCACTACTTTCTGTGGGACATATATGCTAGAATTTTTGAATAGATGAATTAGTATATACATATAGATAAGTAAACACACACATATACATATGCATTTATAATATATGTGTATACACCACACATACACACACACACATACACACATACATATTATATATATATATATATATATATATATATATATAATATATTATATATATATATATATATATTATATTTATTTATTTATTTATTTATTTATTTATTTATTTATTCATATATGTGTGTGTGTGTGTTGTGTGTGTGTGTGTGTGTGTGTGTGTGGTGTATATATGTATATATATATATATATATATATATATATATATATATATATATATATATATACTATATATATATATATTATATATATATATTATACATATATATATATACATTATATATATGTGTGTTATGTGTGTGTGTGTGTGTGTGTGTGTGTGTGTTGTGTGTGTGTGTGTGGTGTGTGTGTGTGTGTTGTGTGTGGTTTGTGTGGTGTGTGTGTGTGTGTGTGTGAGTATATGCGTATACATATATCAAATGCATCTTTATATTGTGAATATTTCATTCTCATTCATAACTTTCTACTTTGTCAACATGAACACGGTTCATCATGTATCTGTGCCCATCTCATTTTAAAAGAATACAGTGATTTCTTAAAATTTTAAATAAACCTTATCTCTCTCTCTCTCTCTCTCTCTCTCTCTCTCTCTCTCTCTCTCTCTCTCTCTCTCTCTCCTCTCTCTCTCTCTCTCTTCTCTCCATTCGTCTTTCTCTCTCCTCTCTCTCTCTTTCTCTCTCTCTCTCTCTCTCTCTCTCTCTCTCTCTCTCTCCTCTCTCTCTCTCTCTCTCTCTCTCTCCTCCCTCCTCCCTCCTCCCTCCCTCCCTCCTCCCTCCTCCCTCCCTCCTTCCTCCCTCCCTCCCTCCCTACCTCCTCCCCTCACCTCCCTCTCCATCCTTCTATCCACCTCCCCGTCTTCCTCCCTTTCCGCTACCCGCTTCCCAGGGACAGGCACCGTGGTCGTCCGGGTGTTTGGACCTCAACGACAACTCTCCTTGCTGGCTCGCCGGCAGTGGGACCTCGAGGTGGACGAGACGCGGGGACTGCGGCTCCGGACAACAGGACCCTCCTCGAGCTCGTGGCCACGGACAGGACAACGGCCAACTTGATGTACTATCGGGTTGGTACGGCTGGGAGTGAGAGGGCGTGGGGGGGCGGTGAGGGGGTGGGGGGAGGTTGGCGGGGGTGGGGGATGTGAGGGGCGTGGCGGCGGTGGAGAGGACGTGGCGGCTGGGGCGGTATAGGCGGCGTTATACTATATCATATATTATATAGTATATATACTATATATTATATATATTATATGTATATTACATATAATATAACTACATCATAGTATATATACATACTATATATATATATTATACATTATAGCATACCTACCCACACACAATATACACACACATATTTGTATATATGTGCGTGTGTATACCCAAGAACGAACATAGCATTAACATACGTCCGTATCTCTGTGTTTAACTTATCCCATAGTGTTTCCTAGCACACACACCACCCTCATCCAGTCAAAAATATGTCCAAATTCTTTGTGTTAAAATATATCCATAGTGTTTCTAGCACCCCCATCCCCCCTCCCCCCCATCCAGTCACGGGTGTCTGGAGCCGCGTCTCGTCCCCCAGGTGGTGGAGGTCGATGGGCTGGGACTACTTTCGCCATCCGGTCCGTGGCGCCGCCGGCCAGATACTACGCCCGCAGGACACTAGACTACGAGGACGAGACCCACAGGAGAGGTTTCAAGTTCATGGTCCAAGTGACGGATATGGTGGGTCTGGCGGCCGCTCACTCAACACTTCTCTCTCTCTCTCATTTCTGTTCCTTCTCTCCTCTCTCTCTTCTGTTGACTTTTCTCTCTCTCTCTCTTCGTCTCTCTCTTCTCTCTCTCTCATCTCTCTCTGTGTGTGCACATGTGTCTCATATCTTCTCTGGCGTGCTCTTATGGCTCCTCTCCTCCTATCACTTTGTCCTACTTCTATCTCGTGGCGCTCTCTACTCTCTATCTCTCTTCCTTCTCTCTCTCTTCACCTCTCTCTACTCTGTCTCTCACCCGTAATTTTCTAACATCCTTTCTCTTCTGGCTCTCTCCTCTCTGCTTCTCTCTCTCTCTCCTACTCTGCGCTCTCTTCTCTCACTACTACTCTCTCTTTCTCTCTCTCTCTCTCTCTCGCTCCCTCTCTCTCTCTCTACTCTCTCGACTCATCTCTCTCTCTCTCTTCTCTCTCTCTCTCTCTCTCTCTCTCTCTCTCTCTCTCTCTCTTCTCTCTCTCTCTCCCCTCTTCTCTCTCTTTTCTCTCCTCTCGCCTCGCCCCTCTGTCTCTACTCTTTCTCCTTCTTGTTCCTCTCTCTTCTCCTCTCTCTCTCTCTCTTCTCTCTCTTCTCTCTCTCCTCTCTCTACTCTCTCTCTTCTGTCTTTTCTTCTCATTCGTGTAATACTATCTCTCTTCTCTCTCACTGTACTCTCTCGTTGATAATCATGCATTTGCTCTTTCTCTCTCGTCTCTCTACTCGGCTACTCTTCTCTCTCTCTCGGCCGTCTACTACTACGTCTCTCTCTCTACTCTCTTCTGTGCTCTACTCTCCTCCACCCCATCCCCTCCTCTCCGCTCTCTCCTCCCCTCTCCTCCCCACGTCCTCCCTCCCCTCTTCTCTTCAGTCCTCTTCATTTAAATGTATTCTACTAATGTATGCATAGTTAAAACTTTCTATTTCCTGGCCGCTCGTTGCTCCACTGCCTGTGGTGTCTTTCCCTACTCTTCTTCTATTTCCCCTTTCCTTTAAATAACTACCTCGTAATCTTTCCTCTACACCGAGTTACCTCCTCACGTCCTTTTTTAATAATGCCCCAACGTCGTGCTCCCGACCCTTCGCAAACGACTCCTTTCATGTCCGCTCTGCCTATTTTTATCCTCATGTCCGTTAGCTGCAAGCTGCGAAGCTAAGTATCATAAATTGGGTCCTTTAGCATGCCCTTTCTTGTTTTCCTACTTTTTCTTGTGTTATCGCCACGTCTTACTTCTACCCCCTTGAATCCTCTCTCCTCCTTCACCTTTTTTGTACTCTTCTTCTCCTCCTTCCCCGACCCCCGCCTCCTCGCTGCCCCTCTTTCTTCTTCTTTTCTTCCCCTTTCCCCTTCTTCCCGCCCTCACTTCCTCCTACCTATACCTCCACCTTCCCTTCCTCTTCCTGACTCCCCCTTCCTCCCCAACTCCTCCCCCACCTCCCCTCAACTCTCCACCCCCTCTCCTACCAACCCCCCTCTTCCCGTCCCCCTCCGCCTCTCCCAACCCCCCATACGGAAAGCGGGTACCGTCCATTACCACACCGGTGCGCTACCCCCTCCGCGCCATCTGCTCCCGCTCCTCCTAGGCTGCCTCCTATCACCCCCTTACCCAGAATACGAACACCCCGCAACCCTGGTCCCGAAAGGCCAGAAACCCAGAAACGCCTCGGAAAAAAAAAACCCAGGCACCGGGCGCGGAAGCGCGAACCTCGCAGCCTTAATGTGCCCCAGGACACCGGCGGCCCTTCCGACAACTGGCACGGCGTTAACTGTATGATTCCCCACCGCGGCGACGACCTGTCTCGCACGCGACAGGCCAACGCGACCGGCCCTCGACCCCTCGTCTCACTCCACTGCCCGCGCCATACGGTCACCCACCCCACCTCCTCCTCCATCATCACGTCCCCCTCCACCCCTCCCCTCTACCCCCTCCTCCTTCACCCCCTCCACCCTCCACCCCTTTCTCCTCACCCCTCTCCTTTCACCCCCCCTCCCTCCCCTTCCTCCTCTTACCCTCCTCCTCCACCCCTCTTTCTCCACCCTTCCTCCTCCACCCCCCTTTCCTCCACCCCCTCCTTCACCCCCTCCTCCTCCTCCTCGTATTCCCCCTCCCCCCTCCTTCTCTTCCCCCCCTTCCACCCTCCCCCCCCACTACCTCCTCCTCCTCCTTCCCCTCACCCCCCTCCTCCCCCCCCGCCTTCTTCCTCCCCCACCCCTCTTTCCTCCTCCTCCCACCCCTCCTCCCCTACCCCCCTCCCACCCTCTCCTCCTCCCCCTCCCCTCCTCCTCCACCCCCCTCCTCCACCCTCTCCTCCCCCACTTCCTCACCCTCCTCCTCCTCCTCCTCCACCCTCTCTTTCTTCCTTCCACCCTTCCTCCTCCCCACTCTCCTCCTCCCCCCCTCCCCACTTCCTCCTCCTCCTCCCTCTCCCCCACTTCCCCCTCCCCACTTCCTCCACCCCCTCCACCCCCTCCCAACTTCCTCATCATCCCCCTCCCCCTCCTCCTCCCCCTCCAGGGTCGCGGCGGCTGGCAGGACCCCCGCCACGTGGACGCCGCCTGGATCACGGTGGCGCTGCGGGACGTCAACGACAACGCCCCCCCTTCACGCGCCCCAACGCCCACGTCACGGTTCGCGAGGACGCCCGCCCCGGCACGCTGCTGGCCGCCCTCCCCGCCCGCGACCCCGACACGGTAGGGTGAGCTGCAGGTGAGGCGTATTTAGGGACTTACGTGCATATGCATATAAACAGTGAATATAAATATATATATATATATATATATATATATATATATATATATATATATATATATATATATATATATATATATATATATATATATATATATATATATATATACCTAATGTATGAAATATGTGTGTGTGTGTGTGTGTGTGTGTGTTCTGTGTATTAAGGACGGACGTAATCGAAGTGTAATGGATTATATCGATTACTGAAGAAAAACAAACATAGAGAACCGTTTCCATGGAAGGGTCTTTACGAAGGTTCTCAAAAGGATATGCAGGACCACCTCCATTTAGGCTGGTGAATCCAAAAATGAAAATGGCCTTTTCCTTAGAAGATTCCCACGGCTGTTTATGGTATGGAACACTTTTGTTTACTTTCGTTAGTTCAGTACACTGATATTTGCGAAGTCTGGATTTTACCTATGTGTGGCCCGGCCTGTGACAGCTGATTATAGCTTTCTCAGTTGATTCACTCTCACTGAATGCTTCCCGTGGTGGCTGGGTTGCCAAGAGGCTTTCCAGCTGCCACGACGTAAATATCAGGCTTAATCTTTTTACCAGCTCAGTGGCTGTGGTGGGCGGCCCCTGTCTCAGAAATTGTGTGCAACAGGGTGGCGTCTGGCTCACCACAGTGCTTGCAACACTGTGGTCAATTGTTTCAATATTCGGCCATGTGTAGTGGGAGCTGAAGTTCAACAGGGGGCAGGAAACACATCTCTGTTATGTGGTCTATCGTTGGCTGCTGATATACCAAATGTGCAAGGACTAAGCATCGGATAACAGTACAGGGTTTTTATGCACTAGATATCACCCTTAGGTCTCCAGCCAGCCTGCCCGTCTCGCCCACGCGTTGCCTGGAGTCCCCTGGTGATATCGTATCTTTGTCGCACTTCTATGTCACTTCGTACCGCTGTTATACTCCGACACGTCATCTCCCTTCTCGTACTGATTGTCAGGCTTCTATGGGCTGAGTTTAAACAATGACGTAAAACAGCAAATAAAACAGCAAATTCGGCACCAAAATGCTAAAAGCCTTTCCCAAGCCTAGAAAAAAAAAATCCAAGGCTTTCACAGTTTCTTTGACCTACCAAAGACGGCTCTAGTTGGCTGCTTCGTGCAAAGACCAGCTCACTTGTTATCATCTAAATCTTGTAAATTTTAATAGACATTTTTAAGTTCTGTCTTTGTTTCTCTGATCATTTAAGACTGCATTTTTTTCACAATTTCAAAGAAGTATATTTAAGAAAACACTTATCAGGCGGCGGAGCTTAACCACCCACTGCTATACCCAATGAGGATGCTCACGAAATGCCAGAAATTGCTATATATACAATTATTTGTATGATTTATGTGATGTCAAGATTACCAAAAGTTTGATAAAATTTCCACTCTTTCATTCATAACAAAGAGGCGGTCGCTGATACAGACTCTAAGGAACAAGTAATCTTTTATCGTCATACGTATAGATATATAGATAGATAGATAGCTTGACTGACTGATTGATAATATAAATAAATCCCATTTAGAGTATGGATGCAGATGGGACATTATCCAATTTGCCCATTCGTAAATCTCTCCACTGTGTGTGTGTGGTGTGTGATGTGTGTGTGTGTGTGTGCGTGTGTGTGTGTGTGTGTGTGTGTGTGTCGTGTGTGTGTGTGTGTGTGTGTGTGTGTGTGTGTGTGTGTGTGTGTGTGTGTGTGTGTGTGTGTGTGTGCATACAAGTAACATGCATGTACACTATCTGTAAGTGTATGCATGTGTCCATGCACGAATGAATGTAAGTAAATGTATACACACGCACACACACACAACGCAGCCCGGGCGCGGAGGCCGCCCCGCGTGACCTCCCGCCCCCCGCCCCCCGCAGGGCCTCAACGGCAGGGTGCAGTACCGGGTGGCGGCGGCGGCGGGCGGCGCGCGCGGGAGGGACGCCGTCGCCGTCAGCCAGGACGGCATCGTGACGCTGTCGCGGCGCCTGAACCGCGAGGGCGGCGACGGCGACGCCCTCGTGGCGCGGGTGATCGCCGCCGACAGCGGGTCGCCGCCGCTCTCCGCCACCGCCACCCTCGCCATCGCCGTCAAGGATGTGAACGACTGCGCGCCCACCCTGCTCCCGCCCACGACCTTCCACGTCATGGAGAACTCGCCGCCGACGCTGCTGGGGCGGCTTCGCGCCACGGACGCCGACGCGTGGGCGCTGGGCCACGGGCCGCCCTTCGCCTCGCGCTCGACGCCGCCACCGCGCCCCCGTCAGGGGCCTCATCGCGCTCAAGTTCTCCGCCGGTGAGTGGCTCTTGTATGCTTTAGATATGTGTGTGTGTATGTGTATGTATATATATATATATATATATATATATATAATATATATATATATATATATATATATATATATATATATATATATATATATGTATATATATATATATATATATATGTATATATATATATATATATATATATATATATATATATATATATAATATATATATATATATGTATATGTATGTATATATGTATATATATGTATGTGGTGTGTGTGGTGTGGTACAGAGAAAGAGCGAAAGAATACATTTATTGTGCGTTCCCATACCTGTAGTTCAAAGCACTTTTGTCTCTCTTCTACTGCCCTCTGATCCCTCCCGCCCTCCCTCCCCCCCCCCCAACCCACTCCCCCCCGTCATGCCCCTAACTCCCTAATCCCCCTTCCCCTGACCCATTCCCCTCTCATGCCCCTGACCCACTCCCCCTCTCCCCCCATCCTGACCCCGCCGCGCCCGCAGAGCTGGACGGCGGCCGCGGCGGGGCGGAGGTGTGGACGTCGGGGCCGCTGGACCGCGAGGAGCACCGCGAGCTGGAGGTGAAGGTGAGGGTGGAGGACGCGGGCGGCTTGGCGGCCACCCACGCCCTCAGGGTCGTCGTGGGCGACCTCAACGACAACCCCATGAGGCCGGGGTCCAAGACGGTCTACCTGTGGAAGGTCCAGGTGAGAGGAGAGCGGCGCCCGTGGAGGCCAAGCACGCCCATTTGCACACACAAACACACGGGGGTCTAGAGAGGAAGGCATAGGAGAGCAACAGAAAACGGGAGGCGCATGCGAGTGCAATCTCGAATGACCGCTTAGCACATACACACACACACACACACGCAACACGAACTAAATAAAAACAACATTGCACAAACACGTACACACATATTCAGAAGACATAGACAAGATTCCAAGTTAAATGGCTTAAACTACAGTACTTGAATGACATGAATTGCACGTCACGTCAACTGCGAATTTTAGATGACTTTAAATATCTCCACAAGCATTTACTCACCAAGGAGTCAGTAATTAGTCCTACCTTTGTCAATTTAACCTTTTCCTTGATTTTCGGAAACATTATGTATAAGTTGGCGTCAAAGGGTTAACATATTAGGAACATTATGATAATGACAGTAATAACGAATAACAGTACCGATTCTGATAGCATTTTTAAAGAATCAAGGGATGTGGGAATTAGGTGTTGTCGCGTAGGTAACTAAATTCACACAAAAAATAAAGTGGACAGTACGTGCAGCTGTGGCTTAAACATTCACACCTGACATTTATTTTAGTTTGGTATTCCTATTCCGCATAGTATTAGATTCAGGTTTTTACATAATAGACACGAAATTTACATTCCTCAAGTCAAGTCTTCAGTATTCCAATTCTATATCCTTTCGATTATCCAAACGCCATACACACTCCCCACCCCCACCCCATCCCTCGTTTCTCCACGCAAACAAGCAATCCACCCTACCCTATGACCATTCCCACCTGTTAAGCACCGCCCACATTTCGCGCTGACAAAATTCCCTCCTGACCTGCTGTGCTCCTGTGCCCCCTGTCCTCTCCTGACGCAGGGCGGCGGCGGGGAGGCGCCCCTCGGCCGCGTCTACGTCGACGACCCCGACGACTGGGACGTGGCCGACAAGAGCTTCCACTGGATCGGCGTCCCGCACGCCCTCTTCGCCCTCGACCAGGACACGGGCGCCATCTCAGCCTCCGCGCAGGTGGCTGAAGGAAGGTAGGGCCTCGTGGTCGCTTTTGTTTTTTTTTTGTTTTTTTTTTTCTCTTGTCTTCGTCTCGGTCTTCTCCATTTCCTTTGTCTTCTTCTCTGTCTTCTTCATTTCCTTTGTCTTCGTCTCTGTCTTCTTCTTGTCTTGTCTTTTTCTTTTCTTTCTTGTCTCTGTTTTCATTCTTTGTCTCGTCTCGTTCTCCTTCATTTTCTTTGTCTTAGCTCTGTCTTCTTCATTTGCTTTCCTTCTCATTTTTCTTAATCTTCTTAATCTTCTATTTTCTATTTTTCTTTTGCCAGGAACAAAGCCAAGGTATGTTGTGCATTTTCTTCATTTTCTCCTCCTTTTTCCTCTCTTCCTTTCGTCTTCGCTTTTTCCTCTTCCACCTTCTTCTTCTCCTTCTCCTCAACCCCTTTCTTCTTCTCCCTCCTTTCCTTCTCCTTCTCCCACCCCCCCCCCCCTGCTTCCTCCTCTCCTCCTTCCTTCTTCTCCTCTTCTTCCTCTTCCCACATGCTCCTCCTCCCCTCCCTCCTTTTTTTTCTCCTTTCCTTTCTTCCTCTCATTTTCTCTTTCCTTTTTCCTCTTCTTCCTCTCATTTTCTCCTTCCTTTTTCTTTTTCCCCATTTTCCTTTTTCTCTTCTTCCTTCTTTCTTCCGTTTCCTTCCTTTTCATTTACAGTTAATTACAGAATAATACAACAAAACAACAAACCGGAGCGATGGTAACACTGCTTGATTATATGATTAATTACCTGAAATGGACTGACAATTATCAACATTTTGAGTAGCATTTCCTCCCGCTAAGGTTTGTTGTAATTTTCATGAAGATTCTTTTTTGAGTGTAATTGGCAATTGTTAAAGGCTCGGGTGAATACTGCAGGGCCGTTAGAGCTTATTTTTCCTTGAAGTCGGATATCAAGGCAATAGAGATGGATATGATTATCGCTTTTCATTTTCCTGTTTCTGCCCATTTATTATTCTTATTATCATCATTTTTCTCCATCGACACGCACGTTTTTAATTTTTATCATTATTATTATTATTATTTTATCATTATTATTATTATTATTATTATTGTTGTTTTATTATTATTGTTATTATTATTATTGATTTCACATCATTATGTTGGATTCTTTTATTTTTAAGCTTCTCCTCTTCTCTTCCTCCTCTTCCTCCACCTCTTCCTCCTTTTCCTCCTCTTCCTTCCTCCTCTTCTTTCCACCTCCTCTCCCTCTTCCTCACCTCTCCTCCTCTTCTCCACCTCTTCTCCACCTCCTCTCCTTCTCTCCACTCCCTCCTCTCTTCCTCCACCTCCTCTCTCCTCCCCCTTCTCTCTTCCTCCAAATTTTACCCTATCCTCTATCTCTCCTCCACCTCTTTCTCCTCCTCCTCCTGCTTCCCCTACATACAGAAAAATTATGTTATAATCCATCCATACATACATATTTATGTGTGTGTATATATATATACCTTATATATATATATATATATATATATATATATATATATATATATATATATATATATATATATATAATATATATATAATATATATATACGCCTCTGGTAGAAATTTCATAAAAATCTGTTGTTAATTTTTGAGCTATATTTTTCACCAACCAACCAACAAACAAACGCTACCAAAAATATCACCTCCTTCAAATAAAAAAATAATAATAAAGGAACAATGAGTCCAAAGGAACACCATTAAAAATATCCAACGAAACACTTTCTATTTATTTATTTATTTATTTATTTATTTTTCTTTTTATCTTCTCCCTTCTTTCTTCCGTTTCCTTCCTTTTCATTTACAGTTAATTGCAGACTAATATGACAAAATAACAAACCGAAGCGATGGTAACACTGTTTAATTATATGATTAATTACCTGAAATGAACTGACAATTATCAAAATTTTGGTAACATTTCCTCCCGCTAATTTTTATTGTAATTCATCATCATCTTCTCTTTCTCCTTCTTCATCTTCATCTTCTTCATCTTTATCGTCTTCATCTTCTTCATCTTCATCTTCTTCTTTCATCTTCCTTTCTTCGTCTTCATCTTCAACTTCTTCTTCATCTTCATCTTCTTCTTCTTCTTCATCTTCATCTTCTTGCTCCACCTCTTCCTTGTCCTCATCTTCTTCTTCATTCTCTTTCCTCCTCCCTCCTCCTCCACCTCTTCTTCCTCTCCTCATCTTCTTTCCTTTCTCTCTCCTCCTCCTCCTCCTCCTTTATCATACTATTTATCAATTTTCCTTTCTTCCTCTTGTGCCCAGATACGTCCTGCAGTTCGCCGTGAGTGACCGCGCCTGGGGTCAGCCTCATCTTCAACTTCTTCATCTTCATCTTCTCTTTCTCCTTCTTCTTCATTTTCATCTTCGTCTTCATCTTCTTCTTCTTCATCTACTTCTTGCTCCACCTCTTTCTTCCTCTCCTCATCTTCTTCTTCCTTTCTCTCTTCCTCCTCCTCCTCCTTTATCATATTATTTATCAATTTTCCTTTCTTTCTCTTGTGCCCAGATACGTCCTGCTGAGTCAGCTCATCTTCAACTTCTTCATCTTCATCTTCTCTTCTCCTCTCAATTTTCATTTCGCTTCGTCTTCGTCTTCATCTCATTTCTTCTTCATCTTCATCTCTTGCTCACCCTCTTCCTCTCCTCATCTTCTTCTTCCTTCTCTCTCCTCCTCTTCCTCCTTTATCATATTATTTATCAATTTTCCTTTCTTTCTCTTGTGCCCAGATACGTCCTGCTGGGGTCAGCTTCATCTTCAACTTCTTCATCTTCATCTTCTCTTTCTCCTTCTTCTTCATTTTCATCTTCTTCTTCATCTTCTTCTTCATCTCTTCTTCATTTTCATCTTTCTTCTTCCTTCATCTTTCTTGCTCACCTCTTTCTTCCTCTCCTCATCTTCTTCCTTTCTCTCTTCCTCTCTCTCCTCCTTTATCATATTATTTATCAATTTTCCTTTCTTTCTCTTGTGCCCAGATACGTCCTGCTGGGGTCAGCTTCATCTTCAACTTCTTCCTCTTCATCTTCTCTTTCTCCTTCTTTCTTCATTTTCGTTCTCTTCATCTTCTTCTTCTCTTCATTTTCTTCTTCGTCTCTTCTTGCTTCCACCTCTTTCTTCCTCTCCTCATCTTCTTCCTTTCTCTCTTCCCTCCTCCTCCTCCTCCTTATTCATATTATTTATCAATTTCCAGATACGTCCTGCAGTTCGCCGTGAGGACCGCGTCCTGGGGTCAGCTTCCTCTTCAACCTTCATCTTCATCTTCTCTTTCTCCTTCTTCTTCATTTTCATCTTTCGTCTTCATCTTCTTCTTCTTCATCTTCATTTTCTTCATCTTCATTTCTCTTCCCTCCACCTCTTTCTTCCCTCTCCATCTTCTTCCTTTCTCTCTTCTCCTCCTTCCTCCTTTATCATATATTTATTCAATTTTCCTTTCTTTTCTTGTGCCCAGATACGTCCTGCTGGGGTCAGCTTCTTCTCAACTTCTTCATCTTCATCTTCTCTTTCTCTTTCTTCATTTTCGTCTTCTCTTCATCTTCTTCTTCATCTTCTTTTCTCTTTCGTCTTCTTCTTGCTCCACCTCTTTCTTCCTCTCCTCATCTTCTTCTTCCTTTCTCTCTTCTCCCTCCTCCTTTTTCATATTAATTTATCAATTTCCTTTCTTCTCTTTGTGCCCATACGTCCTGCTGGGGTCAGCTTCATCTTCAACTTCTTCATCTTCATCTTCTCTTTTCCTTCTCTTCATTTTTCGTCTTCATCTTCATCTTCTTCTTCACTTCATTTTCTTCTTCATCACTTCTTGCTCCACCTCTTTCTTCCTGCTCCTCATCTTCCTCTTCCTTTCTCTCTTCCTCCTCCTCCTCCTCCTTTATCATATTATTTATCAATTTTCCAGATACGTCCTGCAGTTCGCCGTGAGTGACCGCGCCTGGGGTCAGCTGGGGGTCGTCGCCAATGTGACCGTTCACGTGCGCATGCTTGGGCCAGCTGTTCTCGCCCACGCCACCCCGGTCACCCTCGCGCCCACGTCCCCGCCCGCGCTCACCAAAGGATGGACGCCCACGGTTAGTCCAGAAGCAGTTCAGTAATAGCAGTGATTCTTCATTTTGTTTCTATCCTTTGAGGAATCTGTTCTTTCTCTCCATGACTCTCCTTTGTGATTAAGATTCCTCTCCCGATTTTTTTATACAAAAAACATGGATTTGTTCTTGGTCTTCTCAGTGAATTTGAGTCTCTTGGTCTCTTTATTGAGTATGAATTCATCAGATTATCAAACTTAATCTTTGGTCTTGTTTTCGTTAAGGGAATATGAAGTGTGATGAGAGAAATTCACGCTTTTTTTTCCCCCAAGACCCATTGAGCTAAAGTACGTGTAGATATTTTCTTGTTATGTGTGACCTTTCTCTCTTCGCTCTTTTCTTTCTTTTCTTTCTTTTCTTTTCTTTTTCTTTTCTTTTTTTTTCTTTTCTTTTCCTTTTTTTCTTTTTTTTTTTTTTTCTTTTTTTTCCTTTTCTTTTTTTTTCTTTTTTCTTTTTTTTTTTTTTCCTTTTTTTCTTTTCTTTTTTTCTTTCTTTCTTTTTCCTTTCTTTCTTTTTTTTCTTTTCCTTTTCTTTCTTTTTCTTTTTTTTTTTCCTTTTCTTTTTTTTCTTTTTCTTTTTTTTTTTTCCTTTTTTTCCTTTTTTTCTCTTTCTCTTTCCCCTTCCGTCTGTATTTTCACTCCCCTCGCCCCTTCCCCTCGGCAGGCGGAGGGGCGGCCTCGGCAGTTCTGTTTCTGGGCGCGGTGCAGGTGTGATACGGCGACCCCACACAATTCCACGTGGTCAGCGTCTACGATACCACGCCACCTCCCCGAACCGACTCTGACGCCCACGATCCCCCGAGTGCCTGTGCCGCTGAAGACCGCGTGCGTGGGGTGTCGCGGGCGTGAGCGGAGGCGGCTTCATGGACCCGTCAAGCTCCAGGGCTTGCTCCCCCTCCACTCGCCGCAGTTCAGGTCAGGGGCCCGGCGAGGAAGGCGGAAGGAGTGCTCGGCGGGCCCCTTCCGCGCCCTCGCTCGCCTCGTTGGGTTCGCTCTCAGCCGCTTCTCCTTTTCGTGTGATTCATCTCTCTTCTTTCTCTCTCTCTCTCCCTCTCCTCTCTCTCTCTCTCTCTCTCGTCTCTTCTCTCCTCTCTCTCTCTCTTCTCTCTCCTCTCTCTCTCTCTCTCTCGCTCTCTCCGTCTCTCGCTCTCTCGTCTCTCTCGCTCTCTCTCTCTTTCTCTCCTCTTCTCTCTCTCTTCTTCTTCGCTTCTTTCTTCTCTCTTTCTCTCTTTCTTTCTTTCTTTCTTTCCTTCTCTCTTTCTTTCTTTTCTCTCTCTCGCTCTATTCTATTCTTTCTCTCCTCTCTTCTCTTCTTCTCTCTCTCCTTCTTCTTTCTCTCTCTCTCTTCTCTCTCTCTCTCTCTCTCTCTCTCTCTCTCCTCTCTCCTCTCTCTCTCTTCCTTCCTCTCTTCTTCTCTCTCTCTCTCTCTTCTCTTCTCTCCTCTCTCTCTCTCTCTTCTCTCTCTCTCCTCTCCTCCTCCTCTCTCTCTCTCTCCCCTCTCCTCCCTCCCCCCCTCCCTCCCTCCTCCCTCTCTCTCTCTCTCTCTCTCTCTCTAAATCTCTCTCTCTCTCTCTCTCTCTCTCTCTCTCTCTCTCTCTCTCTCTCTCTCTCTCCTTTCTCTTTCTTTACACACATATCTCCCCTTCCCCTTTCGCTCTTACTTTTTCTTAATAAACTCTGTTGCGAATGTTTTCATATCAAACATGCAACAAACATGTTCGTAAAACTGCCGGGCAATACCAGGTGCTTGTACCGGCCAGTAATCGCTCACTTTGGTGTTTCGAAACATGGTCGCGGATTCGAACGGCAAAGCGAGCTATGCTGAACATGGATTCGAACATGCTCATGGCTGTGTTTCGTACTTATTTCAAAAGATACTTTCGTATTGTGTGTACGAGACCTTGTCCGCACGTCCCAATTTGATTTACTGATATGGAGCAGTAATATTCTCCGATGAGTGCATGTTGTCCTCATATGAGGCTAAGGTCTATGAGGCTGGATTGCTTGATATATAGCATCATGTGGAATTAATGATAAATACATATCTTTTGCCGCTTTTTGCATCTTTTGTTTCCGCAAGAATAGTGTGCATTCACAGATTAGCCGGCAACAGTTTTGCCAAATGTAATCTTAAAGGCAAGCTAGATTAGCCCTGCAAACCCCCCCTCAGATCTGACCCCAATCTAGATGCTTAAAACTTTTGACTTTTTGCATCAAAGAAACCGTAAGTTTCTATGTACAATTTCTATATAATTAGAGTAAAGTGAATTTTGATGCTGTAGCAAATTACAGATTTCCATGATTCAATTCTTCCTGTTTGGTTTAGTTCCTTAACATTTATGATATTGTTTAATAATACAATAACGAAGCATGTGTTTTTGATAACTATCTCTTTATCCTCGTGCATGGAGACAGCTGGAAGCAGCCACGCAGCTGAGAGTGCTAACAGACAGCTCACTCAGTCACCAACTGGACGGCACTGACCCTCAGGAGCCCTTACTTGACCTGGATGTCTCCTCCGTGAACTCCCAGCCATCACGAACTCTTCCTCTTCAGGTAAAGAGAAGAGGGACATGTAGAGACAGAGTATGGCATGGACCTACACTTCCTCGGTGTAAGGTATGCACGGCAGGAAGCGAAGGAGTCTTAACTGGATGGAGTTTTGTTGGAGTGTCACTTTGGCCAAATCAGTGTTAGGAACATGGCAAGTGAGGTGTCCAGGGCAGGAAGTATTACTGTCAACCTCCCATTCCATCTTAACTCAGACGGAGAAGGGGTTTTAACTACGTCAGGACGTCTAGGAAATGTCTGTGCATGTTTCATTTGTAACCTATCTAAACATCCATGAGGTATATGGGCACTTTATCACAGTACAAAAAGGGTTCTCCATAATCTTGTGGCTGTTTCGTATAGCTGTCGACCCATCATCCAACAGACTACTTCTTTTTCACGGTTATAGTTGATTATGAACCGGTTACTTCTTACCTCAAAAACATCTTCGTGGCAGCCATCGCCAACGAAATTGATCAGTTCTGTTTATGATATAAAAGTCGAAAAGTGTCAATTACAGCCAATCAATTGTCATGCTGTCAGGTAAACCATCAGATGAATTAATATGTGTTCTGTAAACCAAAATGCCTTGAACATCATCATCAATGCAGATGCCTGATGCCGATGATGAAATTTTGATTTTTGGAATTAGGCAGACCAGTCGATTTACCGCTAAACTATGACCCAGTCCAAGCTCTATATTGCCGGAGCGCATGACACTGACATTGTCATTTATGCTATCTTTTATACTGAGTCAAAGATGAAAAGCATCATGATGTATCAGGGCATCGATTCCATGCACCGTTTTTTGGTGAAAGTCACGAACGGAAAATTTACTCGCGCTTTCCGCCTCTCGCTGCCAGCTCGTGGACACCAACACCACGTCCTTGGTGACGCCTCGCCTCTCGAACGCCAAGGACTGCCGCGCCTACACCCAGACGCCCACGAGTGACTCCTGCACGCCCACCTCCTGCCTCAACGGTGGGCGCTGCCACAGGACCTCCGTCGGGAACAGGCAAGTGATTGTGAGTTTAAAATCATTCATGAAATCTTGTTATTTTTTCAGTAATAAGTTAATATCATATGACTTTCCTTGAAGCTTATCTCTCTATTTTCTTGACCTTATTTCCTTTTTTTTATCCATTTCATAACTTTATAAGCTTGCATATAACTTTATTTCCTTAAAGAATATCTCTTAGATCTTAATTTTCCAAAGAAGCATACTTACTATTTTTATACTTTTTGATCTGATTTGCTCTCTGGGTATCTCTCATTCCATAACATCTTTAATCGTTTCAGTCTATTTCCTCCTTTTCCCCGAAGAATCTTGACTCCTTTTGGAAATTTCTCGGTGTCTCTCAAAGTCCTTAAATTCCCTTATTCTTTCTTCGCATTTTCTTACATTTCTCGGTGTCTCTCCTAGTCCTTAAATTCCCTTATTCTTTCTTCGCATTTTCTTACATTTCTCGAAGGCTCTCTTGCCAGTCCCCAGAGTCCTCCCTCTGCCTGATGCAAGGAGTCACGCCCTCCCCTCCGCCCTCAGGTGCGTGTGCCCGGGCGGCGCCGTCGGGCCCAGCTGCAAGGTTCTCTCCCGCACCTTCAGTGGGCGTGGATGGGCGTGGCTTGGTCCCCTCGCGCCCTGCCTCCCCGCCACGCTGTCCCTCCGCGTCCTCACGCTTCAGTCGCGCGCGCTGCTGCTCTACTCCGGCCCGCTCACGCCCTCGTCAGCGCAGAGACCCGCGCCCATGCTAGCCCTGCAGGTGGTGGGTGGGCGGCCGCAGTTCCTGTACGAGGGTCCGCTCGGGCGGATCAAGGTCGAGGTGGAGTCGAGGGTGGACGACGGCGAGTGGCACGCCCTCCACCTCCGCCTCCACGCTGAGGTGACCCTTGGCCTCTCTCGTGGGCGGGGACGGGGGGGGGGGTCATGGATGTATATGTGTACCTTGTGTCTTAGTGTGGATGTGCGCATGTACCTATATTTCCGGAGATTTTGTGTTATTTAAAAACCTGTAGATATTTGCAACATACGAGCGACCCCCCCCCTCCCTCCCGCCCCCGATCCCTGACCCGGAGTCTTTCCAGGGCGTGACGCTGATGCTGGACCTCTGCGGGCGCGGGTGGGAGGACAGCGCCGCCCAGGACGACTCCCACTGCGCGGCGCGGGCGTCGTGGCCCGTCGAGGGGCATCTCTCCGCCTGGGCGCCGTCGGACCCCCTGCAGGTGGGCGGCATGGCTCACCCGCCGCCACGCCCACACGCCCACGGGTGGAACGAGACGCCCATTGACGAGCCGCTGAAGGGCTGCGTGTCGCACATTGCCGCCAACGGGGAGGTACGAAGGGGGGGGGGAGGGGGGGAGTTGCTGTTATACTATAATGGTAATCTGGGCCTTAAATGGTAGTGGTTGGCGGTGGTAATGGTACCTAATCGTCGTTATCATCGTTATCAGAATTACGGTTTCGCTCTTATCGCGATACCGTAACCATGGTAATTATTATTATTAGCAACAGCCAAGCACCATCAACAAGCGTTCCTAGAGAGAGAGAGAGAATGAGAGAGTGCGTGAAAGAGAGAGAGAAGAATGAGAGAGTGCGTGAAAAAGAGAATGAGAGAGTGCGTGTGAAAGAGAGAGAGTGCATGAAAAAGAGAGAGTGAGATGAGAGAGAGAGAGCGTGAAAAAGAGAGAGAGGAATGAGAGAGCGCGTGAAAAAAAGAATGAGAGAGTGCGTGAAAGAGAAGAGAGGCATGAAAAAGAGAGTGAAGAGAGAGAGAGCGTGAAAAAGAGAGAGAGAGAATGAGAGAGAGTGCGTGAAAGAGAAAGAGAATGAGAGAGTGCTGATGCGTGAATGAGAGAGAGAATGAGAGAGTGCGTGCCGTGAAAGAGAGAGAGAATGAGAGAGTGCGTGAAAAAGAGAGAGAGAAGAAATGAGAGAGTGTGCGTGAAAAAGAGAGAGAGAATGAGAGAGTGCTGTGGAAAGAGAGAGAAGAATGAGAGAGTGCGTGAAAGAGAGATAATGAGAGAGTGC